TTTTTTTTTTTTTTTTTTTTGTTTTTTGAGACAGGGTTTCTCTGTAATTTTGGAGCCTGTCCTAGAACTAGCTCTTGTAGACCCATGCTGTAATTCTAACACTCAGGATCTCAGGATCTTAGGTAAGGAGGTTTGTGAGTTTGAGAAGTCTGAGCTACATAAGGAGATACTGTATATAAAAAAGCAAAACTAAAACAACAAAATTTTTATCCATTCCTTAACTGATAAAACAACCATTTTCACTAAAGTAAACAAGAAGTACTTTTTTTTTAAATGCTCAGCTGTGTAATACTTTATGGTGCCAGAGAGATGGAAAATTTGTTTTATTAATATTCAAATATTAGTCCTAAGTTTTGAGGCAGTGTTGTGTTTCATTTTAAGTTTATTTGAAAGTAACAAATTAAAAAATTAGCATGCTTCATTCTCATAGCATGTTCTCTACAAATGTTAGCGTGTTTTGTTTTGTTTTCTCTGAATAAACAGAACATATGACAAATTGGTTTGTTCAAACAGATCATTCTTGGAGGAATTATGAGTAAGTGTGTGCTAAGAAACCTGGATGTGAGGAATCCTAGCTAGTGTTGCAATAGTGTTTGTTTGTTCCTTAGGTAGAGAAGGAAGAACATGTGACGTCACTGCTCAGATGGTCCTGGTGTGCTGCTGGAGGAGTATGAAGGAAGTCGCTTTACTTCTCGGCACCCTCTGCCAGCTTCTCCCCATGCGACCTGTCTCAGAATCTTCTAGTGGGTTATTAACAGTGCAGCAGGTAAGGTGGATGGCTGTTCCACCAGGGGTTGTTTTTGGGTAAGGCATAGGCTGTTATTTGTAGATCAACTTTTAAAAACAGATTGGGACCTTAAAGATTTTACAGATGCCAACTGAAAAAGTAATTTTAGGGTATTAGATAGTATATTTTTAAAATAATGGCATTTTAAGAAATATATCAGTAACTATAGATTTCTCTCACTTTTGACTCCAACATTATTATAGTTTTTTCTTTTTAACGTATGTAAACTTGAATTCTAGCTGAAATTATCTATTTAGTAAGACACTCCCTGCCCCCGTCTCTTAAAAATTTCAAAGGAATAAATGTAACATTGGTTGGTCATGCTCTCCTGTTGTCTCCCCACCCCCCCTTCAGTAGTAAAGTTGCATTCCTTAATGCATTTGACAGACTTTCACTTCAGACCACAAGTTAGCTCAGCATCTGGGGCTGTTCAGGGATCTAGTGCTGTGTTTACAAGAAGCTAGCTCACCACAAGCATTTCATTTTGAAATATTGTAGATTTATTAGATTTTTGTTTTTAATTGATTCCTTCTTCCTTTCCATATGGTTTCAACAAATCCATTTCCCACAGTTTTCCAGCAAAGATAGATAGCATGCACTTTCATTTTTAACCTTTTTCAAATAAAGATAATTTTCCCCCGTAGGGTATTACAACATTCAAGAACAAAACAAATGCTGTAGTATGCTAATGCTGGTTATTTCTACAATAACCATGCGACTAGCACCATGGAAATAATGCTAATGTTTTTATTCTCACACTCTGGTTCGTGTGCTTGCATCTGGCTAACAGCTGGGCCAGTGATGTTGCAAGAAGGCCTTGGAAAAGCACAGGGCAAAGGCGAGCAGCATATTGTGGGCAGCATGTTCCTCAGTCTCTTCCAGATCAAGTAGGCCTTGGTGCTCTAGAGTTACTTGGAGCCATTACTCTGACTGGTAATTGGGCCAATGCCTGTTTGCTGAGGAACCCAGTTGTGATCAGCCATTTCACTGGGTGAACCCACTATCTTGTTATGAAGTAAGCATGTGCTATTTCCCTTGTCAGCTTCTCTTTTCAAGGGCAAATTGAGGAAAATACATTTTGCTTTTTACTCTAACTGAGAAAGGCTTAAAAGTGCCCCATGAAAATTATTTGCCTTAACACCCTTTCCATTACATCAAAAGTTTGTATTGTAATGAATTTATGTGTAACAGCTGTGTTAAATTGGGAGCTAATGTAAAAGAGATGTTTGGTGTTTAAAAAAAAACTAAAAATAACAAATAAAGAGTTGTATGAACTAAAGAATTCTTCAGTAGCTATTTGTATGAATTTGTGTGCCCATTAAGATAAAAACATTACTCTCCACACAGTTTTCCAGTGTGCTTTTTACATGATAAGCTCACAAGTAGCTGTATGAGAAGACATTACTGTCTTGATATGGATCAGAGCACATATAGTTGCTGTGTGCTGTCAGAAACTGTCTCTGGAAAGCTTTACTCTTGGTTCTCTTGACTTTTAAACAAACGCCTTAGCTTAGGAACATTGAGCCCACAAAAAAAAATGCTTCTTTAAAGTTTTTTTTAATTTAGATATTTTAGGTGTGTTTATTATAAATGTTTGCTATCATATAGATGGGCATCAGTTGTGCTCTTGATGCCCATGGAGGCCAGAAGAAGGCATCAGATCAGATCCCCAGAACTGGAATTACAGATGGTTTTGAGCCACCATGTGGATGCTGGAAACTGAACCCTGGGATCCTTTTGCAAGAACAGCAGTGCTCTTAATTGCGAGCCAGCTCTTCATCGTCCCATTTTCTTGCTTTTAGACAAGATCTTGTCATGTAGCCCAGGCTGGCCTTCCAACTGCTGGAAATACAGCCAGTTCTAAATTCTGCTTCTATGAGTCAAAAATGGTCCCATGTGCTTCATTCTTTTCAGAATGACAAATGAAAATGACAGAGGAGCACAGTTTACATCAGGGTGCCTGGCCAGACCTAAGGGAAATCCATACATCCAAGGACATAGTTGCCCTGGCAAAGCTACATTTGCTGTAGCTGGTAACAAAACCATCAGTTTGAGAATTATGTCAGATGAATGTGACTACACCAGACTCACCTCTGTAGCTAAAATGCTGATACATAGCTCTAGTCTCCTCTCTCACCTTTCCTACCCAGTTCTTTGAGATCACTCTAATTTTATGGCCTTTGTTAAGGGTTGGCCACTTAAATAGCATACACATGAAAATGATTTACAACAGGCTGGCAGGAAAGAAGGGTGACAGTTTGGTGACCTGTCTTGCTATATGATAGCAAAGTAGGTGCTTGTTTTTAGTTCTGAGTTTCCAGTGCTTGGTTCGTGGGCAAATCATCCCCATGATGTTTTCCAGCTCTTAGATAAGAGGAAACAGAAGGCCCTGCTTGTTCATTACCTGGTTTGCCAAAGATCACAGAGTGTGTTTCTGGCCTCCCTCAGATAGGAATCCAGTTCTCTCCTTTCCGTCATGGCTTCACCTAGCACAGTGCTCTCTTTTTTTCTGAGCAGCTCATTTACTTTAAGCTAAATTTTCTCCTTCTCCATTACTCAAGCCAGTTTTCTCTGCTAAAAGAGCAATGAAAGATAACATTTTTTTTTTAAGTTTAATATCTAATCCTTCCAGTAGAGCACTTCTTGTGAAGCAGTTCTTCAAGAAGAAACTGTCCACCCGGTGGCAGGTCTGACTTTCCTCCTGCCTTCTTAATCGCACAATGAAAGGGTCTTTCATAGTGTTCCTGCATTAGAGGCAGAGAGAAAGCGGCTCTGAGGGCTGTAAGGCGAGACCCTTCAGTGGTGAGCAGTGCACCCAGCCTTATCTCACTGTTTGCTGGCTCACTGGTCTGTGTCTGGGTTCTAGCCTGACTTTGCTGATAGACTTCTACTTGATATTTTGTTGGGCCTCTTTCCAGTGCAATGGCTGACACTGATTTTAAAACAACTTCTATGTTGAGTATCAATTTCATTGGAGATTTTATCTAATATTTCTAAAGAGAGCCTTCTGTGTAAATTTTCATACCTGCTTCACCTCACACCCCTTACTGCCACAGAAATCACATGAACAAACATATTGCCAACTAGTAGAAAGTGCCTGCTTTAGATTCTGTTGCTTGAGTGATTCGTAATGCTAATCATGTTGGTGCATTTCCTCTCTTGTTATTTATTTTTTTAATGGGTTACAAATGGAATTTACATTTATTAGTATTCATAAGTCATAAAGGAATTACCTTTTTGTTTTATTTGTTCATATTTAGATTTTAGAAATTACAAATAAGTATATTGAACTATAATAAGTGGAAATTATAACTTTTTTTAAAAAAGATTTATTTATTATGGCTGGGCATTGGTGATGCATGCCCTTAATCCTGGCACTCAAGAGGCAGAGGCAGGCTGATCTCTGTCAGTTCAAGGCCAGCCTGGGCTACAAGAGCTAGTTTTATGACAGACACCAAAGCTACAGAGAAACCCTGTCTCAAAAAACAAACAAACAAAAAGATTTATTTATTATGTGTATAGTATTCTGCCTACGTGTATGCCTGCATGCCAGAAGAGGGCACCAGATCTTATTATAGATGATAGTGAACTGCCATGTGGTTGCCAGGAATTGGCCTCAGGACTTATGGCAGAACACTATAAGAGGTACTCTTAACCTCTGAGCCAGCTCTCCAGCCTGAAAGTTAAAACTCTTAGGCTTCGCAGTGAACTTTAGAAGAGAAAACACATCATCGTTTAGTTGCTTATTTATCAACTGTCTTACTACATGGATATTGTGGGAACATAAATAAGACTTATATGTGGTTCTCTGCCCTCAAAGAGCTTAGTTAATATACCAATGAAACAAAGTCGGATTAACTTTGAAAACTCAGGCCTGAAGGTTAAAGTGGCTCATGTTGAGAAGCTGCAAAAAAGCAAAAGCTAAACTTCCTTGTCAGACAGTGTCTGCACACCAGAAAACCATTGTAGTTATATAGAGGAACAGTTTGAGGAAATTCTCTTAGAAATCATTAAAATAAAGAAGGAATGGTTTTAAACATTAATTATTGTTTAGGATTTAAATGTGAAGCATGCCATGTAACCAAAATGACTGTAGACATCCCCAGGGTTATAAGAAATGGTTTTGTTTTCAAGTCAGAATTTGAATTAAGGGCTCCTATTTTATAGTACAAAGTCAAACCAAAAGGAGAGATTTATAGACTGCTAATTTATCTGATGGTAAACTATAAATGCTGGAGACATGGCATGTAGCTGTTTCCCTGTATATTTGTGACCTATAAATCCATAAAAGATGCCAGTTTGCTTAAAGTTTTATAAAACGTCTAAGTAGGATATGTTAAATTTAAATGATAGTGACATGTTTAATTTTAAAATTAAAAATCAGTATCTTATTTTTTTTTTATTCACTTTTACCTTCATTTTCTTCTAAATATCCTGAGATGTGTGTATGTTAGCTCGTGGCTGTAATCCTAGTACTTGGGAGGCTGAGGCAAAAAGATCTTCAGGGATTCAAGGCCAGCCTCAGCTGTGACTACAGCCCAGCCTGAACAGTAGAATGAGATTCTGGCTCAGTTAAAAATAATAATAAAACATCTTGGGAGAGTCTATTTTTTTATGTTAAAAGTTTGTTTTTTTAAAAAATACACTATCTATAAAGAAACTCTTTGAACTTCAGAAACTTGATGGTTTCTAATGAAACAATTGAGTTTTCACTTTAAAGATTAAATGGAAAATTTCTGGGCTAGTAAAATGGCTCAGTGTGTAAAATGCATTCACCAAGATTGATCCCTGGAACCCACACCTGTCCTCTGATCTCTGTAGGCACCCTGCACGCATACATACACACAAATAAACAATCTAAGGTTTTAAAGTTCTGTTTCTGCTTCTTACTATTATTACCCATTTTCTGAATGGTCTGAGTCGTCTCAGTTCTTTGTAGTCTGGTTATCCACTGAGAGGGTGTCAGTAGAGTGCTTCTGTCCATTTGCTGCTCACAGAACCCATTATCCTGTGCACTCTCCCACCTTCAGGAACTGGGTTCATCCCTCCTCTTCATGCCTGTTTTCCACTGCTGTGTAGTATAAAGCCTCTTAGTCATTCATCTGGGTCTGCTAACCTAGCTTACATATGTTAGATCTGGACCCATTTAAGTGTCTGGTTAATAGCAGCTGCTTAGTAAATGTTTATTTGCTTAATGTATAACTTCTTCACATATTAAATAACCTCATTTTTGGTCTACGTAGGCACATACACCCTGTGCAAGATGCAAGCATGAACTGTAGTCTAATTTTAGTGTGGATGGGCCTTTCTTGAAAGTGTAGTGCAGCTCTCATTACAACCCATCACGCTAGTTTTCTCTGCAGATCTAAACTGAAAGCCTACTGAGGTCACACGTCCTGTTTTCATCTTCTTTGTCTGCCTCTGTAAGCGCCACAGCATTGGGCAGGATGTCAAAAACACTTGACAATGATTTTTTTATATTCCTGCAAGGGCAAAAATTCACAAGTTTGTTTGGAGATTAAATGTGAAATAAGATGAAGAAAAATTGTCTATATAACACTCTTGTCCTTAGAGTCTCATTCTGACTGCTAAGGTTGGGATTGCCTAGGGCTGAGGGTCCATGTGGGAAAGACCACCCACAGACATACTTTTAGACACTTTAGTTTTATTACATGCTTTTCAGTTTAGTCCTTTGAAAGGAGTTGGCATAAAGGAAGCAATGAAAAAAAAATGACCTCTGTTTAAGGAGAAGATAGTGAGCTGTTGCAAGTCCTCAGAGAAAGCCTTCATGAATAGCGTTCGTCTTTATTGAAGGATGTCACAATATCTGAAACACTTTAGGGAAAAGAGTTAACTAAGAGACTGTTGTCTTTATTTTCTCTGCTCTGAAATGTCTTCTTAGTAACCTCTTACTTCTGTAATGATAGAAATGATGCTTGAAAAAAGCTTTACCTGAAGGACATAGTGTGTTAGCCTGAAATAGAGTTTGTAAAAATTCATCATGCGCTGCTTGTGTGGTTCTTTGTTGGTCTCCATTTCTCTCTGTCTGTGCACTCTTTATAACAGATACACAGAGTGTAGATGCTTTCCCTCTAGTTAGAACAGATAGCTCATGGTGAACTGAATTAGGTTATAGATAATTAGCCTGTTCTGAACTTGTCATTAACTCATTTAAACACAACAGCCCATGAGGTAAGTAAGTGCCTTTAGTGCCCCAGTATACAGAAGAGGAAAATGAAGCCATTGAGTATGGTCGCTCATTAACTGCTCACTGTTGTGGCTCTGATGTATGCAGAACACTAACCCTGTCACTGCTGAGGTGAAGGTGTTTCTGAGCAAGCAGATCTGAGGTCTTGTTGGGCAACTTCCCTGTTTACTATACTGTGGTCTGTAGATACACAGTGAACAGCTAGCAGATTACTGCTTTGGTCCAGTTTATGTAAAGCCTGAATTTTCTAAAGTCAGCAGCCACCAAACCTGTCACCAAGTGACATAAACCAAGTTGGATTAACTAGTTTGGCAGCTCTCTTTGTTCAGAGCAATGTGACTAATTGTCAGTTATGTTTTGTTTAAAATTAATTGACATGCTTTGTGTTTAATCATACCTAAGAGAAAGACAACATGTCAGGAAATGATGGCATGACATCCTGGCAGTTTCTATGGTTGAATTAAAGTACTGCTTATTGACTTGTAGGAGGGCCTTTTACTAAGCCTCACTTGTAACCTTAGTGAGTCTCAAGAATGTAATGTGAATGGACATGACTCTCAGTTTAAGATGAAATGGTCTTTGCATGGATAATGTTAGCGCTCAGCAGTGCTTCCTGTCATTGAACTGTACACTGTAAAATGGATGGAATGGTAAATTTTCTTACTTATATTCTACCATAATAAATGCAAAATATTTGAAGAGCAAATATAATTGTCTTAGAATCATAAATGTGAGTTTGTTACTCTTTGTGATTTTTTGTTGTTGTTGTTGATGTTGAATGAATGGCATGAGCTAACAGATTGTACTGTGAAATTTGCAGATCTGGCATAAGGAGGCATTCTAGTGTAGCAATTAAAGATAGAAGACTCCCTGGTTTCCTGTTCTGCTTACTTGCTGTATGACCTTAGATTAAGTTATATAGTCTTTCTGTGCCCAAGTTTTCTATTGGAGACTATAGTGTTAAACTAACACAATAGTGTTTATTTCATGGAATTCATTATGAATAGTTAAATGAGATGCTATAAAAAGCTTAAGGCATGTGTGGTGGCACACATTTGTAATCCCCACCGGGGGTGTGAAGAACAAGAGTTCAGTGTTATCCCTGACTACATAGCAAGTTCAAGGCCAGTCTCAGCTGTCCGAGATCCTATCTCAGAAAATAACATAAAGGTGCTCAACACATGATTTGTCATATAAGTCAATGTTAGATGGATAGCCAGGTACAGGTTCCAAATTATATTGCTGATATGTGCTAATGCATCTATAAATTTGGCATTAATTGAATATTATTTTCATTTTTTTTTAAAGGTAAAAGAAATAGGAGATTACTTTAAACAACACCTTTTACAATCAAGACACAGAGGAGCATTTGAACTGGCTTATACTGGTTTTGTGAAACTCACTGAAATATTAAACAGGTAAAACAAATATCCTTTTTGTGTAGGTTTTTTAAAGAGCAGATTTTAGATTGTATGCATGGAGTGGATGTTGTTTGTGTCTTTTCTACATTGGAAAGAATGAAGACTGGCTGGTTATAGAACTCATAAGAGATGACTTTCATGGTTCCGTCATGTGATTGACTGCAGATGGCGGTGTGAGATGTCCAGCCTGCACTGCTTTCTCACCAAAGCTCATTCAAAGTGCACTCAAAGATTTGCCAAAAATAAGCCTGAGATTACTGCTTCTTTCCATGAGTTAAATGAATGTTTTGTCTGTTTGAAAATAATTTGATGTTTGGAATCAAATAATCCTGGATTTCTTTGTTTCAGGGAAAAACAAGGATTTTGTCTATTTCTTTATAATTTTATAGAAAAGTCTTGAAATAACAATAAGTAGACATAATAGATCTTAACCAGAGATGTAGATAGATCTCATGTATTTAACCAAATGTATATTTTTAACTTTATGGGTGCCAGAAATTTCATTCATTCATATAATAGATTTTCTCTAAATAACTTGTAAGGAAACCTTTACTTACTTAATGACGAAGTATTTGTGACAAACATTCTCTAAATGAAAGGTACTATATTTTTTAGGAAAACATTTCTATTTCCTGGAAACTTTGAAGGGAAACAGCATGTTGCCAGTCTTGTAGCTTCAGCAAACATTTTATTTTGGCTGCTGAGCGATCCACAGTCTTGATATCTGTGACGCTTTGCCTCCCACTGCTGTTGAAAACATTTCTAAAATGTCTTGTTAGTTGTAGGTCACACAGACTACCTTTAAAAATGTTCCTGATATTAAACTAATGATCTTTAAAAATATTATATTTTATTTTTAATTGTGTGTGTGTGTGTGTGTGTGAGAGAGAGAGAGAGAGAGAGAGAAAGAGAGAGAGAGAGAGGGAGAGGAAAAGGGAGAGAGTGAGTGTCTGTGGACAGGAGTTCAGGTGTCTGTGGAAGCTAGAGAAGAACTTTACACTCTCAATCTGGAGTTACAGGTGTTCGTGGACAGCCTGAAATAGGTTCTAAGAACCACATTCTGGTTTTCTGTAAGCACAGTGAGGTCTTTTAGATGCTGAGCCATCTCTTGAGATCTATAAAGTGCGACCTTGAAAAATACTTTTTCTTTTCTGGGCTGGAGAGCTGACTGACTCAGTGGTTAAGAGCACTGGCTGCTCTTCTAGAGGTCCTGAGTTCAATTCCCAGCAACTACATGGTGTCTCACAGCCATCTATAATGTAATGGAATCTGATGCCCTCTTTTGACATGCAGGCATGCAGATATACATGCAGACAGAATTCATATACGTACATAAGTATATCCTTAAAAAAAAGAAAATGTTTTATCTTTTCAATCCTTTGTTTCTATTGTAGACATGATATGAGTATTCTTTTCTCATAATGCAAATACTCCCATTCTTTCAAATCAATTAGTGAATGTTAGCCGTGTAGTTTGTATTGTGCTTGGCTTGGAAAATAGAATACCTCACCATGAGACACAATTTCTGTTGTTAAAGAGCTTGTGAAGTATGAGGACAATCTAACCCCAGGATTGTCACCCCATTGATGGATAAGATTGGTTCAGCTATTTTGTCTGACTAGACAGTGTCTGCATCCTCCTTAATGGTTCCATGCATGTCTTTCCTGAAGCTGCATCCTCACTTCAAGGAATGGCCTTCTTTCTTCCAGGGTAAGGATATATGTATCCTTGGTTATAGTCTCCAAATAAGAGCTGATGGTTTAGTTTAGGAAATAAGCAAGGGTAAAACTCAGAATATTAACAGGAAGTATGTTCCAGGCCTCTGGTCAGAAGAATTGCTGCAAACATTTGGCTCAATAGATTTTAATGACTATTAGGGAGTACCTAGATTCAGTTTTGGCAATCTAAGCCTGAGGTGGTGAGGCTCTGAGATGAACAGCGATGGGGTATTTCACCTAACATTTGTCCTCGTATGGACAGCTCCACACATGACATATTGAATGACCCAAAGGAAAACTGTAGACATTCTGTTACATTTCTTGACTTTATGAGATGGAATCAGGGCAAGGCTAAGGTAGGTAGTTTTCCTCTGGACAGTTACTGATTAATGTGCCTCTAGCTGGCAGATGAAGTAGTGGGCAAGGGGGTTCCTTTTGGCTGTGGTCACATTTCTGGCACCTTGGGTAGTGGGGTAGCTAGAAGACTGGACCTAGTTGGCATATAAACTAACAACTGACTGATGTAAAGTGTGGGAAGATTTTATTGTAGATATGTGAGAGAACAGCCCGAGCATCTGGAAGAGTCTCACACAGAGAGATAAAGAGGTAGACTGACCATGGACAACAGACTGGACAAAACCAGGGCTGTCTGCGAGAGAGGGGAATAGCAAGAGATAAAAACTTGTTAGAAAGAAATGTCCCAAATCACCAAGGAGAGTGTCTTTTTCCATGTGATGGGTAGTAGAAAAACTCCAGGAGCCATGAGAGACGGAGCAGGCAGCTCTAAGGTGACGCTTACTTGAGTACCAAAAGAGAACAGGTGGAGGGAAGAAATGACTGAAGAGTTGGACTCAAAATTTAGAGTTGAGTATGATGGGTGGCAGAAACATCAGGAACAAATGATCCATACCTCTGCAGACTCAAATCAGCAGCTTGATTTGGTTAGGGAGGCTGGGCTCCTCAGAAGGGGTCTGTTTGTGTCCTTCCTGAGTGTTCCGTACCAGATGTGTAACTGACAACATGATCACTCCTTTTTTATGGTTACGGGGATGGTTTTTATTGTGAATGAGAGGTGGAAAATATCCTGAGGCATCTGGAAGAATCCAGAGCAGAGAGAGAAATAAGTAGACAGAACATGGCATGGCCAGCAGACTGGACATGGTCAGACATGTCTGTGAGGGAGGCGGGAAGAGCAGGGCATGGAGAATAGAAACATCACAGCGAGCCTAGCAGGAGCTGTGAATAGTGAGAGCAACTGGTGAGCTGGAGGAGGTAGGACGGTCTGGGATACTAGTATGGACTCTGAAATGTGTAACAAATACTTGTGAGTAGAGACTGGGTAAATCTGGAGGCTCACATGGACCTGATATGCTGATGAACGCTACAGGTAGATGTTAATTGCAGAGCCATATGTCCCTTTTGTCAGGGATACTGGAAACCACTTCTTTTGGCGATGAGAACCAGTTTCACAAGTTACTGGGGGATTCTGCTTTTATCTAATAGTCAAAAGTCCTCCTCATTTCTGGCTATTTGGACTGCCTTTTTATGGAGGTCCACTTTCCCTCTCGGATTGATGGTCAGAAGGGGCGACAGAAAAGCTTTGTATGCCACCCATGAGCACAAACAGAAACAGCCCCCTGGGAGACAGATTTCGGTGAATCAGCTCAATTTTATTCCAGAGTATAATAAGGATTAGGGAGCCTGAGGACAAACCCTAATTTGCATTAAATGCACACTCCTGTCACAAAGCTTAGTATGTGGAAGTAGGGCCCTGTAGTAAGGCTCTTTAGCACAAGTCTTTGTAACAGGGATCTGTGCCAAGGGTCAAACCAAAGATGAATCAGCCATCTGGTTTAGAGACGTCTTTTAGATAAGGTGATTCTTCCAGACCCAGGGACATTTTCCAGATAAGGGCAGGTAGAGATCAGGAAGCCTTGCTGGGGAGGGAGGTAGTTTCCATATTGTTGAGCTTAGAGAAAGCTGCTAGACAGGCTATGGCAGACTTCGACCTCTGACTAGCCAGCCATGTATTCCAGCACATTTTGGAGTTTGGGGATTTGAAGTTTACTTTGGATCTGACAGTTGGGACCACAAGTGATCTCTTACTAAACATGGCAGTTTTGGGGTAACAGAACTTCTTAAATAGTAGCAAGCTCCAGGCAGAAGCTGTATGATCTCTTCTGGTCCTAGTAGTCTGGCAAGTCTCATAGTGTGGCTTCAGTCACATGCTTTTGATTATAAAGAGTCTTTAGGACAGACCAAGTGTAGTCTACTTTTTGGTGACACAGTCGCAACTGAATGCGAGTGGTAGCGGTTACCAGGGAATCTGTGATGGCTCCTCTGGTTTTAGGTCCTAGTGACCAGGAAAATGGGATTGATGTTATCAAAGTCAGAGGAACTTTTGTCTGTTTTGCCTGTATTGAGTGTAAGGAAATGATGGGTTGTCCTGGTGGCTATTCTCAGTTTAGCAGTTGCAGTAGGATATGGCGAGGTAAGGTAAGGTAGCTGAAACAGCCAGGTCTGGGAACTGTTTCCATAATCGTCACTGCTGGTAGGACTTGAAGTTTTCAGGGAAGAATGAGAATGGACAGAACAGAGAACCAAGGACAGAAACGTTGTGTGAGGCCAAGCATGAATGAAATACCACATCTTCGCGTCAATTTCATAACTATTGTGTACTTGCGCAGTAGAAGCCATTCCCAAGAGATGAAGCAGGGAGATGGAAAAAGTGCCTGGTGTATTGGCCACTCCTAATCTGTTTTAAAGACCCCTCATGGCTGTCATTGTTGGTTCACACCAACAATGGTAGGTGTTCTCGTCTGATGCCTCTAAGTGCAGCAGTTTTCTATCCCTTTGGGAACATTTCAAATCTGACTATTTTGCACAGAATATCTGTATCATGTGTGTTGCTTTTGTTTGTTTGGTTTTCATTTTTAAAAGAAAATCTGTTTCCTTTGGACTTTTTTAGGGGGAAGGGTTAATAAGCACGTAAGTGATGAAAAACTTGTTTAGGCATACAGCATTGAAGAAGTTTGCAAGAAAAAATCTGGGCATTCCTGAAGACCCATAGGAATCAAGGCCAGCTGCTGGCTACCTCTTGCACTGCAGCTGTGTTAAGGAAGAAAGCACTTAAAGTGATTAATGGACAAATAACTGAAGAGTTAAACATGAGCTACATTCTTTAAATTGGTTTTTAATAGGATTATTCAAAATGTCTTCAAATGTAAACTGATTTTACTATTAAACAATTATCTGAGGATAAACAAGAACGGGGAATAT